GGGGGTACATATCAGTCCTGCTTTTAACTCCTGTACAGATGTATTTACCCCCGGGTCGGGGGAAGGTGTGTGTGTGGGGGGGTAACAGTCTGTTCTGAGTCAAACGGTGCGTTCAATGACGTCGGTTCTTAAAGTGTGTCTTTAATAAAGGTCAGGTGTCAGAAAGTCCTAAGACGAGCGTTCTCCTCTCATCACAGCAAACATCAAAGCAGACATCAAAGCAGACATCAATAAAACCTGGAGAAACAGGATGGAAGAACAAAGGAAGGAAGTGGACCTCAGTCCTGGGCCGGGACACAGAGACGGGTCGCGACCTGACCCAGACGTTTCCCTCCGTTTGTCTCACCTTTGACCTCTGTTGGGACTCAACAACGATCTGTTTCACTCCGGTGCGACTGTGCAGGCGCGAGAACACATTAGTCGCTAACCAAAAAAAAAAGTGGACAATTACGACGTCCACTATCAGTTAGCCGGTGGAGCCCCCCGGTGTTAATGCTGGCCTTGCAATAACAGTGGAATAATAATGAGATGATCCTTGTTTTTAATGGTCCTATAAATTAGAGTGTCTTGTCGCCGTGCGGCTGCTGGCCCACGGCCCCGCCGCCCACGGCTGGAGCAGCCAAAGAGCAGCTGCCCCTAATGGTGCTTTATTTAATTTCCACCCATGTGCTTAAATTTTAATATCCCCAGCAGCCCGCAAATGTTGTGGTGTGAAAACGGACTGGATTTGCAGGACATCAGATCATTTCCCGCCCGCGTGTCTGTGCGCTCTAAATCTTTAATATCTAGGCAATTAAAATTAATGACCATTCAGGCGAGGCCCTCTGTTGGCGGGGTTTCCTTGACATCAATTGTTTGATGGGTTTACCTAGAGGTTAAACTAACAAGCGGGGTTTAATTGGAAGCAATGAAAGCTCGCGCCCTCATCCTTTTTACTTAACCTGCTTAAAGGAGATTGGAGGAAAAAAACAACAACGATCCAAAGAGACAGCCGTCCAACAGTCAGAGCACCGTGGGAACGTGTGATGGAGACAAAAACCACAATGACATCACTTCCTGCACTGATCCACGCCAAATTTGTTTCTTTAGTTTCACCTCGATGTAAAAATGTTCCTCCAGCCTGGGGGAGGCGACGTGGTGCGGCTAAAAAAGAGCAGATGACGGTGTTCACGTGTCGAACGGAACAGCTGTAACTACACTGTGACTGTGACTGTAGTCACACTGTAACTGGAGAAAATACGGAAAAAAAAAATACACAGAGAATGAATTCATGAAATCAGTGATTACAACGAAAAAAACTGAAAATAATAACTGAACTGACGTTAGCTTTAATCCTCTGAACTGACGTTAGCTTTGATCCTCTGAGAACTAATGTTAGCCCTTTTATTTTCAATATAATTCTGTTTCATGTGACAAATATAAACCACACTTTTGTTAGCGTTGATCCTCTGAACTAATGTTAGATTTGATCCTCTGAACTGGTGTTAGCTCTAGACAGACTTTGATCCTCTGAACTGATTCTCTGGGGTTGAAATAATTAACATCGACATGATGTTAGCTTTGATCCTCTGAATTAATGTTGGCTTTGATCCTCTGAACTGGTGTTTAGCTCTGAACTGATGTTAGCTTA